TATCTGACCTTTTCTGCTTGACTCAGACATATACTAGTTATTGCAAATAAGGGAAACCATGGGACCTATGTTTCTTTGGGCCTGGCTTATAATTTTTTCCAAGTCTCTACATTTCCTAACAAATGGGGCAATGTCATTCTTTCTGATGGAGGCATAGAATTTCATTGTGTATATATACCACATTTTCTTGATCCATTCATCTACTGAGGCTCTTATCTCAAATTAACTACCAAAAGAACTGGAAGTGGAACTGTAGCTTAAGTGGTAGAGCACTAGCCTTGAATACAAAAGCTCAGGAACAACACTCAGACCCTGAGTTCAAGCCTCAGTACCAGCACACACACACAGGAAAATAAAGGAAGATTTAAAATAAAGTAAAGGAAATGTGTTTTTAACTCTGGAAACTTCATCAAGACTAAGTTAACACAAAGCTGGTCTAAGCAAAGTAATGAAGGAAATGTAGTGATTATAAAAAATTGAATTGGGTAACAATTCAGAAACAAGCTCATTACAAAGACCAGCCAGTAAGACAACAGACCAGGAATGAAGAGGAAGCATACATACAGATACATAGTTTATAATATTACAAAGGAAAACATAAATTAACTTAGGAAAAGGTAAAAGTCTGACATGAACTAATAGCTTAAATAAAATGGAAATGTTAATTCAGGGCTTTTCTTCAGCTAAAAAGGCATTAAGGCCCAAGGTTCAGATTATAGAAAAATACAGGGAGCCATCCATCTAATTGTCTGATCTTGACACATCAGATAAAGCTTATACAGAAGAAAATTTATAGTCTATCCCAGAGAGGGAGGATGGGGGAGGGGGGAAGAGAAAGGGAGAGGGACACAGAGAAAGGAAAAGCTGTAAATATTATAAAAGATAGCTAATCATTTCCATACATATTATGACTGTTCAGAAAATTCAGGAGAGTCAGTTGGAAGTTGTAGAACTAATGAGAAACTTTAGTGCAATGCAACACATGTGAATGAGATCTCTGGTCTCACAAACTTGCAGCAGGATTGTTTCTCATGCTCAAACTAGTTCTGGTAGCTTTTCATCTCCAGAAACCTCCAAAGGAGGATTAGATAAAAAATGCATTTGATATGCAATTGAGGAACTTAAATCTGATCTTACAGCTGATATGATTATTCTACAGTTGCATTTAGTATATAATGATGTACTGAAAGCAAATACCACTGAGAAGAATGGAATAGAATTTTGTAATGCTCTCCAGGCAATTTAAAAGCATGTGTTTGTGAGTTCATTCAAAATCCTAATACATAATTGACAGATGAGTACTTTTTATTTTGGTCATACAGAATACTCATTTTGAATAAGATTCAAAATGAAATATTACCTCAACTCTCCCCAAATCCTACTCTCTTCATTGGTAGACTTGAATTACTAAAAAAAAAAGTAGTACTGTTATATTTTGAATTTCATCAATAAAAAAAGAATCTGTAGCCAGTGGCTCACACCTGTAATCCTAGCTACTCAGGTGGTCAAGAGCAGAGGACCGTGGTTTTGCAGCTAGCCAGAGCAGGAAAGTCTATGAGACTTTTTTGTGTGTGTCCAAGGGCTTGAACTCGGCCTGGGTGCTGTCCCTGAGCTTTTCTGCTCAAACCTAGCACTCTACCACTTTGAACCATAGCTCCACTTCTACTAGTTTTCTGGTGGTTAATCGGAGGTAAGAGTCTCATGGACTTTCCTGCCTGTGTTGGCTTTGAACCATGATCCTCAACTCTTAGCCTCCTGAGTAGCTGGATTACAGATGTGAGTTACCAGCACCCAGATAGTCTGAGACTTATGTCCACTAACCTACCATAGAAACCAGAAATGAAGTTGTGGCTCAAGCGATAAAGTGCTAATCTAGCATAAAGGAAGCTCAGGGACTGTGCCTAAGCTCTAATTCAAGTCTCAGGACCAACACCAAAACAGAAAAACAAAAGTCTATGATTGTTTTCTGTCATTAAAAAATTATTTGGACAATATCCTTGTTTTCTTCTTGGTCTCCAAAGCCAATGGTATTTACCACCTAACCTTTCTCAGGAGGAAAATAAGGTGAGATTATTGCCCTCTCCTCCAGCCACTTATCCTATACCAAGCTGTATCTTTTTTTTTAAATCTAAATCTTAATCTCCTCTTGTTCCTTCCCCCTTCTCCTACTTTCCTTCTTGTCATGCCTTTGCGACTTAATACATGTGCAATACTGACACATTTGTAAGTAGTTCCTGCTCACCATGGCTTCATGTCACATCCTCCTGCTCAAGTTTCTTCATGCAGACTTGCCGCAGTTACCTCATAAGCGGGAAAGGAAGCATCTGAGCATTTGAAAGGACCAACTGGGAAGTCTGAGAGTCACATTCAAGGAGATGGAGTAAACTGAGAGTTTGGACCAGAAACCCACCTTATTTTTGAATTTATTACATATGTTTCTGACCAAGCATGGTAACAGAAAATTCAGAAAGCATATAAATTTCTGCATGTACCTTACACAGCTCAGTTGGTGCAGAGAAGTTCTCATCCAGTCCCAGGCTATTGACAAGTATATTTAAATGTTGCACTATTGCTGTTTCCCTGCCCTCAATTTTTTTTAAAACAAATAATGCTTGGAAAGCAAAGTAAAAATTAGAGTAATCCTCCCAAGTCAAAAAGGACACACATGTGCTTCATTAATTGAAGGATAAAGTGAGTAGTTTAGATCTGTTGGAAGCTCTGTGTCCTTAGTGGAAGGATGCTAGATGTCATTATGGAAAAAACAGACTCAAGCCTGAACTACAATACAAGTTCTATGCTCCTGAGCAGTTGCTGTTTTCCCTCAATGGTCTTCTTGGAACCATACACCCTCAGATACCAAGGGTCTACTTGCATATTGGTACACATTTTAAGTACTCAACTAAAATGTACAGTTCTGGTTCTGTTGTGAACATCCCACAATAGTACAGGTAAGCCAACCCAGCAGTATGAAAAATTGCCCAATGGTTCTTTGATGAGTTCTGGCTTTGTCTTTTCCATGGTACCTTGCCAAATCAATACTTGTTATGTGCTGTGTGTCATTTCAGTCACTCTTACCCTATTTAGCTGATCTTTTGTCTGTAGGTGTTTCTGCATGAGGAATCTAGGAGTAGGGGTGCATTTTTCCAGCCACATACTTGGGAGAATGCACTGTAGGTACAGTTATGTAGGTAAATTAGCATGCATGAAATTATGTTGAAAATCATGTTATATTTTACTTTTCTGGTAGTTTCTTACGCATGGATTTCCTTGTGTACTTCTATGAAAGTTATTTTAAATCTCCCTCTAAAGTTTCTGGATTATGAAATGTTGAATGTTACATCTGCACTAAAGATCTTTAGATGTGACTCAGTGGTAGAGTGTTTGCCTTGCATGCATGAGGCCCTGGGTTTGATTCCTCAGTACCACATAAGCAGAAAAAGCTGGAAGTGGCACTGTGGCTCAAGTGGTAGAGCATTACCCTTGAGCTGAAGAGCAGAGGGACAGTGCCCAGGCCCAGAGTTCAGGCCCCATGACCAACAAAAAGAAAAGAAAAAAGATATTTAGATGTCAAAGCATTTTTTATTTTTGGAACAGAAGTGCTCCACTCGTAGCATTAAAATTATTTGGGCCGAGCGCTGGTGGCTCACGCCTGTAATCCTAGCTACTCAGGAGGCTGAGTTATGAGGATCGCAGTTCAAAGCTAGCCCAAGCAGGAGAGACCGTGAGACTCCTATCTCCAATAAACCACTAGAAAACCAGAAGTGGTGCTGTAGCTCAAGTGGTAGAGCACTAGCCTTGAGCTGAAGAGCTGAGGGACAGTGCCCAGGCCCAGAGTTCAAGCCCCACAACCAACAACAACAACAAAATGGTTTGACAGTTACTCTGTGTATTATTGGATGTTACTGTTTGGCTATCAGTAATACCCAATATTTCTTGTTTTTCTTGAAGTCATATTAATCCTATTTCTGTTTTCTTCAGAGTACAAATTGTACTTACCAAACTACTGAACTTTGAATTTGGGTTGGTTTTTTTGGGGGTTGGGGGATGGGGAACATTTTTATCCCAAATAAATGATGAATTAAATATTAATAAATGATGAATCAAATAAATGATGAATATTCTGTGTCTAGTCTTTATGCTTAAATTAACATTTTTAGCAACTTACAGAGCATTTTCACTTAACTGCAGTCAATTTAGTTCTTTGTGTTCTTCCTCTTGTTAGCCCCTGAGGATGACTCACTGCTGCTGCTTCGAGCAGAGCTGTGCTTAATCATGAAGAACTATGAGCAAGCTCTGCAGGATGCTGATGTGGTTTGCCGGAAGGAGCCTCTCCTGACTAAGGTACTTGGTGTCTGTTGGCTTTGGAGATGCATAGTGTCAGTTTATGGAGAATAAGGCATCATAATTATGATCAGGTACCTGCAGACAGTGTGTATTCCCTCCAGATTCCAGTAGTCTCTGTTTAGTAGTCCATCTGGTACTAACCCAACCCAATTTGTAAGACCCATGTCTCCAACTGGATTTAAATAAGAAACACTGATTTTGATTATCCTTAGTCGTTATTTAGCTGAATAATAGGCCCAATACATTAAAAATATACATCATATACACTGTGAATGAAGAGGAAATGTTAATGAGTTATTTTATTACTAAAATATAATTTGAGCTGGAAGATTGTATAAGGGCTGTTGATCCTTGACCTACATAGGAGATAGGGGTGCCAGGGAAAGAGTTAACATTTTCTGTGTACCTTGGGCTTAGTGTCATTCTTGGCTTTTGGTCAGAGAGGTCTAATACTTCTGATCATACAAAATAAACTTTGCCAATCTCATAATGGCAGTGGAAATTATGCTTAAATATTAAGAACCCAGGGAACAAAAATAGTTTTTCCTTGAATCTTTGGCATTTAAACTTGTATAAGAAAATTTGAGTTTTACTACTGTGCTTGTAGGCTCATAATTCAAAATATTTATTATCAAGCCATATTACATTATTACCTTTTAGAAACATTGAAGTGACATTAGCTCTTCCTCCTTTCCTTCCTTCTTGTTCGCTAGTATACTTTTAAACAAAATGTTTTAGCCTAAGCACAGTGGCTCTTTTTTGCTCAAGGCTAACACTCTTAACACTTTAGCCACAGCTCCACTTCTGGTTTTTGATGGTTAACTGGAGATAAGAGTCTCATAAACTTTCTTGCCTGGGCCTGCTTTGAACCATGATCTCAGCCTTCTGTATAGCTAGGGTTACAGGTGTGAGCCACAGACACTCAGCTCAGTATGCAACTTATAATTAAGGAATTTAAGACCATTTGCATTTAGTGTTACTGTGACAGAGATGTCGTAGTTTCTTTCTTAGACGTTTGCTATTTTACTTATTTGATTCCTTCTCATTTCTCATTTGTTTATTCTTCTGGTGATACATATTTTTTCCCAGCTCTCTTCTTAGTGAGTGCAGTTTTCCTTAAGTATCTTCTGCAGTGCTGGGTTAATGGTTACATACTGCTTCAGTTTATGCTTGTTACATAAGTCTATATATCTCCTTTGATTTTAAAGGATATCTTGGCTCTAAGTTACTTTGTTTCAAGAAATAAAACTGTAAGTCAACAAATAGGCCTCAGAAAGTACAATCATTAAAGAAAAAAGTTGGCAGATTGCACTTCATCAAGTTAAAAACTGCTTTTCAAAATAATTATAAAAACGAAAATCATAAAATAGAAAATATTTGCAAGCATATATGTAATAAAGTTGTCATACATACATACACGCATATACTAGCATATATAAAAAGTATTACCCATTTAGCAGCCAGCCAAGCTAAATAATGGGCATGTAATTTGAGTAGATACTTTACTACTGAAAATATATGAATAACAAAAAAATAAAAGATGTTGCACACCATTAGTCGTCATGGAAATGCACACTAAAATCTTAGGGAAGTACCACAACAGACCCACTAGAACAAAGAGACTGGTGATCCTAACTCCTTGTTAGATAGTGGAAAAATATTTCTCAAATTATTTCTTTGCTGTATTGAAGGTTTCTATTGTTTGCAGAACTTTTTGGTTTGATGGAATTCCATTTGCCAATTTGTACTTTTGTTGCCTACACTTTGGGGCCATATGCAAAAAAACTCTTTGCCCAGGTGCTGGCGGCTCATGACTGTAATCCTAACTACTCAGGAGGCTGAGATCTGAGGATTGCAGTTCAAAGCCAGCCTAGGCAGGAAAGTCAATGAGCCTCTTATCCAATTAACCACCAGAAAACCAGAAGTGACGCTATAGCTCAAAGTGGTAGAATGCTAGCTTTAAGCAAAAATCATTTAGGGACAGCTCCCAGGTCCTGAGTTCAGAAAGTCCACAACTGACCAAAAAAAAAAAAAAAAAAACCAAAAAACCCCAAACACACCAATTTGCTCAGGTCAATATTCTAAGGCATTTTTCACCATGTTTTCTCCTAATAGTTTCTTAGTTTCCAGTCTTACATTTAAATCTTTAACCTATCTTAATTTGTTACTTGTAAATGGCAAGAGATAAGGTTTTTTCATCTATGTGTGAATATCTAGTTTATCTCTTTCCTTCCCACTGTTTATTAAAGAAACCATTCTTCTCCCATTGTGTCAAAACTCAGTTCATCCTGAATGCATGAGGTTATTTCTGAGTTCCCTTTTCTGTGTCATTGGTCTGTATATCTGTTTTTATGCTACCATCATGCTTTTTAGTGACCATAGCTTTGTAGTATGTTTTGATGTCAGATAGTTGTTTTTGCTTAGCAATGATTTGGCTGCTCAATGTCATTTGTGATTCCATCTGTATTTTATAAATTCATACAAATATGTCAAATGAAAAATAAACTTAATAATAGTCACCTGATGCCAGTTTCATCTTAGAAGATCCCTCGGAACTGCTTTTGGCAGTTCCAGCGGTGGAGACTCCAATGTTCTGATTGTAGATTGAACTTTTAAGACATTGAAATTTACCAAGACAGGGAGACATGGTACACCTGTCACCATCCTTGATGGGTTTTGTTTTTTTTTTACTTAATTTGAAGTTAAAACAAATAGTTTGAACAACTTTCCCAGTTGTGATCAGGTATGGATAGTTATTCTGTGGTTTAAAATGCATGTTTTGTCTTTGGGTGAAATCAGGGACACCACCTAAAAGCCCAGGCTCTGTCTGGATTGGGAAGAAGTAAGGAAGTGCTGAAGGAATTTATCTATTGCCTCGCTTTAAATCCTGAATGTAACTCAGCGAAGAAAGAAACACAGAAGGTATGATTTCTGATGACTGACTTTCTCCCTCACGTTTTAACTCCAGCCTTTGTAAAACCAACAAATAGAATTCTGAATGTTCATGATACTGTGATTAAAAACATAACATAATAATGATACAGTTCATACATCTGACAATTTTGTGTTGGAGGCTGCATTTCCATCCATGAGTACAGCAGAATGTTTCATGAGATAGCATAGACCCATCTCAAGTGTGGACAAATAATAGTATACTTGAGTGAGGCTAATTATGGCAAAGTGAGACTAGGTGAGGTGAGGGAAGCAAAATGTTTTTCTATAGTTTGCAATTTCATGTGCCATGTACACAAACCATGGTTTGTGTAGAAATCCAGTAAAAGACATTGTGATGATATGAGGTGATACATCTGTTAGCCAGATTTAACCATCGTACAATGTGTTTATATTTCAAAACATGATATAAACAATAAAATCATAATTGCCTGTCCCCCCAAAAGACATTGTGGTATATATAAAAGGTATCAGTTTGGCTTGACTCATATTTTCAGTGAATCCTTGCCAGCATATTGTAGAAATCTGCTCTCGTATGTAATCCTCATTGAATTACACTTAATGCAAGAAGTCATTTTTCTTTTCTATGTTGGTCCTAGGGCTTGAACTCAGGGCTTGTGTGTTGTCTCTGATCTTTCTTGCTCAAAGCTAATGCTCTGCCACTTGAGCCACAGTTCCATTTCTGGCTATTTGGTGGTTAATTGGAGATAAGAATCTCACAGACCTTCCTGCCTGAGCTGGCTTTGAACTATAATCTTCATATCTCAACCCTCCTGAGTAGCTAGGATTATAAGCATGAGCCATTGGCACCTGGCTGAAAGTTCTTAAAGTACTTCCAATGACCAGGAGTTCTGTTTTTATATTTGACTCTCCCTATTTTAATGTGAATGCTATCATATATCTATTCTGTAATTTCTGTTTGTCATCAGCTCTAAAGCAGTAGGTAATCAGTTCTTCCTTCTGCAGTTCAGAGATTCAGGTATTTGAGAATAGCTATTTCCTTTGCCTCAGTTCATTCTTTGAGGCAAACATGCTTTTCTCATAGGACAGGGCGTTGGGTTTCCTTCTCTGGTTGCACTCTTGCATGGCCCACATCTCTTCTTGTCTGTCAGCCACGCGTAGCAACCTTGGCCTTGTCAGGGTTCACATAAGGAGATGGACTTACTTTCAGCATCCCGCTGTTGGAACTGTAGCTAGTTAAAAATACCTAGGTGTTGTTGTTGTTTTTTAAACCAATTCCTACCGATATCTTTACTGGTAGGAAGTAAAGTGGAATTTGTTCATCCCTTTTGATTTAGAATCATTGGTTTCTGACCATCATTCCTACCTGTTAAAATAATATTTACCCGGGAATCAGCTCTCTGCCATCCATGCCTGCTCAGCCCAACCTGAAAATTTCATAAGAACAGTAAAACGTGTATCTCAACTAGTCCTTATACCAGTGTTTTTAAAACAAGCCCTAGCTCGGATGAAGCATGTTTACAAATGTCCTAGAACCAGAGTTTACATTTTGTAGATTCTTGTCTAGATTATCTAGTGTGTTTTTTTTTTCCTTTTTCTGCTGGTACTGGGTCTTGAACACAGGGACTCATCCTCTCACTGGACAGTTTTGATCATGGCTTGTGCTCTACCACTTGAGCTATACCTCCAGTCTAGCATTTTTGATGGCACATTTTTCTGCCTGAGCTAATTTTGAATTGAGATCATTCGGGTACTAGGGTCCTGAGTAGTTAGTGTTGCAAACATGAACCTTAGGCCCTGGCTCTGATGCTTTATTAATGGCTGGTAGACATAATTTATCACAGATAGTTCCAAAAACTGTAGCCCATTCATACTCATGTAATATGATCCATTCCCTGCAGCTCTGCTGAAGCTGCTTAGTCCCTGTTAGGACCCTTTCTCCCAGGCCACAGGAGAGTGTTTTGCTCACTGCTTCAGTGTCTTTGGCTTGTCACACTCGCTGTAACATGAACAGCAGGAGGGTATTTTGTTTATTGGTTTGGTTTGGGTTTTGAAGACTTCACTGTCTTCTTTTTTCTTTCTTGAAGCTCTTGGAAACAACTGAGGCCATGAGGTTTGGAAGAACCACCTGTGTCAGCCAGAATGCCCACCTGACAGTTGCTTTCTTGGTGCTGGGAAAGAGTTCTTGAACCAGAATTCTGGCCCCTTGCCTCCTCTCTTTTAGAGTTCTTTACCAGGTGGCTCTGCTGGTTCTGTCGTAAATGGAGCTGTCCTCTGGAAATATCTCAGTTCCATGAGTGATTTACAGCTTAGATTTAATTAATCTCAGAGCCCCTGGAATCTTCAATCCCCATTTTTCTCTTTCCTGTGAGACTTTTACATGGAAGGTTTTGTATAACAGGTGGGGACCAGACAAGAAGAAATTGAAATGGTCCTAATGACAAAGTAGAGATTAATGAAAGAGACTGGAAGCTAAAATGGTTAAGACATGGATTATATTAAAAAATGTTTGCATTTTAAAAGGTGTATAGTTAGAATTATGGTAATTTTTCTTTCCAATTTTTATAGGCCTGTCTGGCCACATTTTCCTCTTGAAAACATGCTATAGATTTCTTTTTCTTCCAAAAGCATTTTAAAATACATTCCCTTTTCTTGGTATTTTTATAGGTAATATGTGAAGTGTTTTTTCCACCTTCAGACAACACAAATCAAAACTCGACCTCTTGCACCCATGGCAGATACAAAGCTCACTGTGATAGCCAGACAAACACCCAAGTGGAAGAAGACGATGACCCAGGGAGCCCTGGGGTATGTAGTATGGAGAGGAGTCCTGAGTGGATTATAGTGTGTGTGTGTGTGTGTGTGTGTGTGTGTGTGCGCGCGCGTGCGCGCACGCACACATGCACACACGCACACACGAGAAAGAGACAGTCCTGAGTGAGGGGAGCAATGCATGTGTGAGTCCCGAGTGACGTACTTAGAAGGTATTTGTCTGTCAGCATTATCTTGAGTAAGCTTTGAATAACTGGTCTGTGTTAAATTTTTCATAAGTTATGGAGACATTTGGCTCTAGATAGATCTTAAGTGTTTCTCAATAGTCGTTAAAACTTTTCAATGAATTCATTTGGGACTAGTGAGACTGAAAGAATCTCTTTTAACACTTCCATACAAGTCAGTTCAGAGGCCTGAGATGATTTTGGCTTGGAGAAAAGAAAGAGGGATTATTTGAGTATAAGATACAAGAGGGATGATTTGAGTATAAGATACATAACAGATATTTCTATGTATATTTTATGTGTGTGATAGTGTTTATGTTGTCCCAGACAGAAATTATTCTGTGATTTACCATGCAAATGTTCAAGTGCATCTTACCAGTTGGTAGATAAAACCAGTTATGAAAAAAGAGTAAAAGACCTCCTCTTTTCCAGAACTTTCTAGAACAGGCTTCTGCATGCATGATTTTTTTCTTGTATGCTGTGATTTCTTGAATATTTAGGATTCTTTTTTCCTACTTAATTAGAACTCATCTGAGAGAGTTGATATGTTTAGAAATACAAATTCTTCGGTTTTATATTTTATACTGGGACTGCACTTTGAAGAGGATAAAAAAGCATTAGAAAATGTCATCCCAGTAGCACCCAGCACTGGTTTAAAGAGACAGCTTCCCAGTGACATGGAGGATGCGCACGGCCTCCCTGGGAAAATTCCCAAGAAAGGTAGGTGAGCATTTTGTCATGGTGTTGTGTGCGCTAAAGGGATAGGATGTTAGCCAGTAGTTTATCTATTTTTTAATTATGCAAGTAATAGTAATGATGAGTCTGTTACCTGTGGATATTTGAGATAGCTGGTATCACAAAAATTTCAGATTCCTTAATAGAGAAAGTTTTGGCTTAATTTTCACTTTCGTTCTTGTCTATCCATAAAAGTTGTTGGTATGAATTAACTAGACAGGAAAACATTCCTCCCCAGCATGGTTTTGTTAAACTGATATAACACATTTGTGTCCAGCAGAAGAACGCGCACTGCATACTGTTACTCACATGTTAATTGTAACATTGAAAATTCTTCAGATGCAGATTGCCCACCTCAGAGGACTGTGAGTTCTAAGATGGGAGATGATCTCGAAGACTTTACTGTTGACATGACTGACTTTGAGTGTGCCCTTTGCATGAGGTAGGATGCTACAGAGTCTGTACAGCTCTGAAAAATATTAGCCTTTCTAAGTTGCATACCTAAATAGAATGTGCTTCTTATTAGGGAAATAACATAAACATTCATGATTTATTTATTTTTTAAAAATTTGAGGAAGGCTGGGAATGTGTCATAGTGGTAGAATGCTTGCTTAGTATGTATGAAGCCCTGGGTTCGACTCCTCAGTACCACATAAACAGAAAAGGCCAGAAGTGGCCCTGTGGCTCAAGTGGTTGAGCACTAACCTTGAGTAAAATAAGCTCATGGACAGCCCCCAGCCCTGAGTTCAAGCCCCAGGATTGGCAAAAAAAAACCCAAAAACCCCCAAAAATTTGAGGAAGATGTAAGAGGGGAATGGAAATAAATAATATCCAGAATGGAAAAGGAAGTTCATAAGGCATCCTTCTAATGTTGATAAATTCTATGGAAGTCTCTTGTGGACATGTCTTGATGAAGACACACATTTCCTTTCCAGGTTGCTCTTTGAGCCTGTCACTACTCCTTGTGGACATACATTCTGCCTGAAATGCCTTGAGCGCTGCCTGGACCATGCTCCACACTGCCCACTGTGCAAAGACAAGCTTTCTGAGGTAATTGTGAAGGGACAATTTGAAGTGACAAGGAGGTACCCTACACAGCCTTGGCGGACCTCCTTTCACATCCTGCTTTGCTTTTGTCTGGTTGTTAAAGTTAGAGCCTCTAACGACAGCTCAGTTCCCACCTTTCTGATTAATCACAATTATACAAGGAACATTTAGGTACAGAAGTAGCTAAATTTCAAGAAAAATTTCAGGTGTACATTGTAGTTGAGGTATATTATAAATAGCATATCTGTTACAAATATTTGTGAAAGGATATAACTCATTCCTTATGAGCTCTTCTGTACCTCATCTCAGTTGGGGACCGAATCACTTCTAATTGTCCCTCAGCAACCTAAATACCCTTATAATATCACTTGACCTGAGATCAAGATCAGTGGAACTTATTAGGGCCCACACAGAAGCTACTTCTATAACTGTTAAGGTATGGTGAGAAAATGAACAATATTTAAAAACAAGGCCTTTTTCTGGCCATTTTATCAAATAGTATATGCTCCTGTGTACTGGGTCCCTCTACACATGGAGCAAACCGTTAAAGCTCTTGTGGGGATAGAAGAACCTTCTTTTTCATCCATAAGATGAAACTAACAATATTTGCCATAATTGTCTCCCAGAAATTAAACTGTACTCCTTCTTTAGAAAGATAAAGTTAATTTTTTTAACAAATATGTAGGAAAATATTGATGATTATTATTGGTGCCGAGGATTGAGGCTAGATCCTTGTGTGTACTAAACATATTATAACTTTAGTTGCACCCTGTAGCTCTCAGATTCTTTTTCTTACCTATAAGAAGAGGTATAGTACTTGAGCAAATTTTTAAATAGTTAACAGCCTTTTAATTTATTGCTAAAACTTGTTAAAAGTAAGTTGGTGCAAGGCTAGGAACATGGCCCAAGTGGCAGAATGCTTGGGAGGCCCCTAAATTCCCAACCCCTGTTAAAAAATAGTTGTTGAATTAAAACCTTGCTAAAATATCCATGCTTCCTTGGTTTATTAAGTTTCCTGCAGGGTTCTCATGTGATCAGCTATATTGTGATGCATCATATGTCATGGTGTCGGATACCTTCTCAGTCTATTCAGCAGGATCATTAGGGGGTGCCCTCTGCCAGTCCTCCTGATGTTGCGGTCTCTTCTTGCTGTCATGTTGCTCCCATCCTTGGCTGGAACAAGAGGCCAGGAAATGGTTCTTACTCATGAGAATATGTGATCACCATTCCTCACACTGACTTTATTTGCCTCCACGTTCAGGGCTGCTTTATAGTAGAAACATGCAAAGATGCAAAATCTGGGGATTGACTAAAGTTTACGTCTTGTTCTTATTGTCTCTTGTTTTTAGTGCCATGGTGGCCTAATCACCAAAACAGCCAAGCTTGTCAACTCCAGATCTCTTTTATAAAACCAAATCCTCAGGCCTGACTGAGTGCTAATTTAGGATTATCACCACGGCATCATTTTAACATTTCTTTTTTTGTTACAGTTGTTGGCAACCAGAAATTTTAATATAACTATACTGGCCGAAGAATTGATATTTCAGTATTTGCAAGAAGAGCTGTCTGACAGAAAGAGAATTTATGATGAAGAAATGTCAGAACTATCCAAGTAAGTGCTCACACTGCTTGTCCTTGGCGCCTAGTTCCAATTCATGAAGGCAGGCTTGTTAACCTCAACTTTGTCATTGATTGGGATTTTTTTCCTAATAGTTCTTTGATCTTTAAATAGGAGAAAATATTAACTGCAAAATATAAATAGATGTATAATCATGAGAACTATTTCAAAAGCATATTTAAACAAAATTATATATTTGATTTTTATATCTAAATAAATGATACTAAGTTTTCCAGAATTGGAAAGGCAAAGTATGTAAGTCAAGAAACAGTTCTCGGGATGGTGACTTATCTAGACTTGACAGTTTTACAGCTTTTCAGATGATTGAAGTTTTATATATGGATCTCCTATTTAAAATTCATTACCTCTGACAGTGGTGCAGTTTTTGCTTTGATCAAAAGATTTTTTAGAGTAGTCAAAAGCTGTAAGTTTTCTAAGTACAGTAATTTAACAGTATGTTTTCTTAGATTTAAAGAAGACTTGGTAGACATCTGGGTGAGCAGAAAACATTCTCATGCCAATGGCTTTCCTTTCTCCGCCCCCCCACCCCCAGCAGTGACTGGGGTCTGAAGGTTTTGTTTTGTAAAAGAGAGAATTGGGGTTGGCTAGCTTTGGCTGTTGGGTGGCTCCCTTGTTTCTAACATATCTGACTTCACATTTGCCTTTGCTCTGCAGTCTGACCAGAGATGTGCCCATCTTTGTGTGTGCCATGGCCTTCCCCACAGTTCCCTGTCCCCTCCATGTCTTTGAGCCCCGGTATCGGCTTATGATAAGAAGATGCATGGAAACCGGCACCAAACGATTTGGCATGTGTTTATCTGCTGAACATGCAGGGTAAGAATTGCCAGAATCCCAAGCATAAGTGTATAACATGGTCTATTTTGAAGAAACTTTAGACTGATACTTGAAAATCTCTAGGATCTCCCATTATACCACAAAGACTCAGTTCGAGGCTATCCATAATGTGTTCTTTTCAGCCTCATTCTACTTGCTTCCAGTCATCATACTTGCTGGTCCAGTACCATGCTCATCATTCTCTGACTGTAGTTCATGGTCCCCTACTTCCATTCTCCCCACAGCTTGCAGTTCTCCTCTAGCCCATCTGTCTGCCCAGAAATTTAAGGTCTAGCAGAATGGCTGTATCCTTAATGCAGCTTTTCTCTATCTTGCCGTCCATGTAGTTTTCAGTCTTACAAGAATCTACAGCATTTGGCTTTTTTTCCTGTTGTTTCTTCTCAGTTGTCTAGGGATAGTTTTAGGGGAGCAGGGCTGATTTAGGGATTTCAGATCTCCAATAATAAGGTCCCTTTCTATCCATTTGGGATTTTTCAGCTCTTCCTGGTGATGAGGTAACCACATCCAAGTGCTAGATAGAAGGGGAAGCACATGTATTCAATGGATTCTGAACAAAAATGGCTAGTTAGTTCACATTAGCAAAGAAGGCTAGGAAATGTATTCTACATATGTGCCCAGGGTAGAGGAGAAAAAGATTTTTAGGGCCACCCAGTAATCTCTACCATAAAGACCTAGGGAGAAACAAACTTTTTTTTTAAAATGGAAAAAAAAAGACCTTTATGAAGAAACTTCAAAAACTATTGGAAGCTATTCAGGAAGCTCTAAATAAAATATAGGGAAATGCCATGTTCATGATTGCAAAACTTATGAAAGACCTGGGAACATTCCAGGAGGGTTTTTTTCCCCCCCAGGTCCCTTTACTTTTTTTTTTTAATTTTATTTTATTTTATTTGTGAACATACTGTACAGAGGGGTTACAATTGCATGGGCAGGATAATGCGTACATTTCTTACCAGGCATTGCAGCCTC